CCAAAAAATTATTTGCGTATGCGCACAATGGTGAAAGTCGCAAAAAAAAAAAACCCTACTGGAAGAAGGACATTCAGACGACCTAATCGCAATCATTGCAAGAGATGGCTGTCCAGATAGGCAAAATCGCAGATTCAAAGCGCAAATACCTGGAAAGTACTTGATTCTCCCGGTGTCAGGAAACTCGCTAGGGAACCGGGAAGATCGTGCGAGTGAGCCCACTTCAGTGCGGGAGATGGATGTGGGCGTCTGATCAGCAATTTTAAATGCGAGAGGGAACAGTGGTGAAACCCAATCAAAATGACTGTGTGACCACAGCCATTTCTTAAATAACATTGGAGAGAGGATCAAACTTGTGAGGCCCCACAATTCAGGTCTTGTCTGGAAGTCCTCTTCTCCTCAATAGTAACCCTCTGAGAGCATCTCCGCAGGAACGACGAGAACTAAATAAGGGCACTGCCCCTTACCCCCAAGGAGGCAGGGCAGTTGATCAGGAACCAATGGGCAACTGTATGGAAAGCTACTGATAGATGCAGAAGGATCAACAGGGCTGGCATGCCTTTATTCAGATGTAAATGGAGATCGTCGACCAAACCAATCAGTACCGTCTTGGTCCCAAAGCCAGGCCTGAAACCTGATTGAAAACCAGTGGGTTTTAGATCAAATCAAGCCTGAGATCTCCCTAGAAGCTAAAATGACCACACTGAGGCGATCGTACTTTGGTCACATCATGAGAAGAGAATAAATAATAAATAATTATCATATGGCAGTGTGTTTAGTATAGCCAGGAGTTCTAGCTATTTTAGCATTATGCACCACTAGGTTGAGAACTAGACTTTTTTTTAAAGGCAAGAGACATTTCAGAGGTGATTTGCCATTGTCTGACTCTGCGTCGTGCCTCTGGTATTCCTTGGAGGTCTCCCATCCAAAGTTAGCCAGGACCCACCCTGCTTAGCTTCTAAGATCTGACAAGATCACAAGAACATAAGAGATGCCAAAGTTGGATCAAGCCAATGGCCCATCCAGTCCAACACTCTGTCACACAGTGGCCAGAAATACCAGGTGCCATCAGGAGGTCCAGCAGTGGGGCCAGGACACCAGAAGCCCTCCCACTGTTGCCCCCCCCAAGCACCAAGGAGACAGAGCATCACTTGCCCCAGAGTCCCTATCTATACCTTGTGGCTAATAGCCACTGATGGACCTCTGCTCCATATACTTATCTAATTCCCTCTTGAAGCCGTCCATGCTTGTAGCCGCCACCACCTCCTGTGGCAGGGAATGCCATGTGTTAATCACTCTTTGGGTGAAGAAGGGGCAGTGCCCCTTCACCAGGAGAAGCAGGCAGCCAGTGGGAAGGAGGAAGAATCAGCAGCATGGGCACTCCCTGGGAATGGGCAGGCCCATGGGAGACAGCCCCAGGCTAGCTGGTGGGAATTTCCACCGTAGGGTTGCCGGGTCCCTACCTTTTGTCGGTGGGAGGCTCCAGCCCGCTCCCCTGGATGTCACGCTAGGCACATCACACAGGGGATGCTCTAGCTAATAGCCTCTGCTCCATATGCTTATCTAATTCCCTTTTGAAGCCGTCCATGCTTTAGCCGCCACCACTTCCTGTGGCAGTGAATTCCACGCATTAATCACTCTTTGGGTGAAGAAGAGGATCGAGCTAGCCTGGGCTATCCAGGTCCAGGTCATCGGCAAAGACAATAATGCTAGGAGAAGTCCAAGGCAGCAGGAAAAGAGGAAGACCCAACGTGAGATGGATGGACTCGACCAAGGAAGCCACGAGGGCCCTCTGTTTGCAAGACCTGAGCAAGCTTGTTCATGACGGGACATTTTGGAGGGACTGTGGCTCACTGGCAGAGCCTCTGCTTGGCATGCAGAAGGTCCCGGGTTCAATCCCCGGCATCTCCAGTTAAAAGGATCAGATAGGATGTCATGAGAAAGACCTCAGCCTGAGACCCTGGAGAGCTGCTTCCGGTCTCAGTGGGCAATACTGACTCTGATGGACCAAGGGTCTGATTAAGTAGATGGCAGCGTCACGTGTTCAGGTGACAAGATGGACCACTGATCTGATCCAGCAGGGCTCTTCTGATGTTCTTAGCATCCTCACCCCTATACTTCCCTACCAAGATATAAAACTCAAACCAGGCTCTGCATACCTGATGTATACCCCACCTCAGGGCTATTTTTGGGCAGGAACGCACAGGAACGGAGTTCCGGCTGGCTCCTGAGTTGGCCACACCCAGCAGGAACTCATTAGGATTGGCTACATTTGGGGTGTGTGGTCTAACAAAGGGTTCCTGCTACAAAAAAAAGCCCTGGGTTTTGACAACAAACAAGATAAATAGAATAAGAAGCAAAAGGTGGGTGTGGCTGGATGACCACACTTCTGATGGCATGGGGTGTGGCCTAATATGCTGTGCTGTCAGGGGTGTGGCCTGTTATGCTAATGAGTTCCTGCTGGGCTTTTTCTACAAAAAAAAGCCCTGCCCCACCTGATGTATGATGGGTGTGGCTACCAGACAGTCCCCCCGCAGTTTCAGTTGTGGAACACCCTCTCCATAGAAATCCACATGGTACTTTTTGCTAGTGGGTCTGAATGCCCTTGCTGGTAAAGACATTTCCTTTCCTTTTCAAAAACTGGTGGCTCTTTTTACCATTGTGGGGGGGGGGGTTACACCGGCTGCTTTGATGTTGTGTTGTCCTTTGTTAGCGCGATCTAACAGCTTTGATGTTGTGTGTGTTTGTGAGAATGTGCCTTAGAATCTGCTGTTTTAACGTTTGCCTTTCTTGATCCTGAGTGTCCTACCTGTTGTTTTGTTGGTATGGCCTTTACTGTTTTGCTGATTTTTATGGTAACCCGCTTTGAATATTGCATACAGAGTCAGGGCGAATGAATTATTTCAATCGGTGAAGAAATTAGAGGCGCCCACTGGTACATGTCTGGCTCAGTCCTCCACACGGTGCTTTCCTTTATCGTTTGTGGCAGGGTGTCTTTGGTAATCCCGCCGTGCCAGAAGTCTCGGTATGCCACCTACTTTGACGTGGCAGTGTTACGCTGCCTACTCCAGCCGCATTGGTCCGAGGAAGGCACTCAGTGGTCCCTGATGTATTACCTCCAAAGGCTGCGCCACATGTTAGAGGAGAAGCCTGAGAAATCTCAGGAACCAGAACTCCCACCGTTGCCAAGACCCCGCAGCAGTTCCATGGTGGCTGCAGCTCCCTCGTTGGTGAATACTCACAAAACCCAGGTAAGGACAATGTCAGCTCCCATAAGCATATGGGGATTATCTGGCTAACAACTCAAACCTTTTGGGCCTATCCAGAAGCCCAGTTATAGGCCGAGACCATTCCAAAGGAGTGTACAACAGCATAGGCTTGCCAAGTCCCCCCCAAGAGGCCCGTTACCTGCCGCCGACGGATTGGGCCCCGGGGGGAACCCCACCCCCAAAGCACATGACATGCCCGGCGTCAGCACGTCACCCGGAAGTGACGCAGCCACGCCGGGCGCACCGGGGGCGGGGCTGCGGTCATCCGAGGGAAAACTCTATGTTTTTCCCTCAGATGACTGCGGCCCCACCCCTGGTGTGCCCAACGTGGCCGCATCACTTCCGGGTGATGTGGTCATGGCGCGTGCTATGTGCACGCAAGCGCACTCCCAGACCACAGCTGGAGCCCCCCGCTGTGCATACAGCGGGGACTTGGCAGTCCTACAACAGCAGCCTATCTAGATGAGCATTGGATCATTGAATCATAGAATGTTAGAGTTGGAAGGAACCTTGCAGGTCATCTAGTCCAATCCCCTGCACTCTGCAGGAGCATAGCCAATAGATAACCCTACAACATACCCGAAAGATGGTTGTCCAGCCTCCACTTGAAAATGTCCAGGGAGGCAGCATCCACCACCTCCCGAGGCAGTCTGTTCCACTGCTCAACCAACAGTTAGGAAGTTTCTCCTAATATTTAGCCGGTAACTACTCCCTTGTAATTTCCACCCATTAGATCTAGTCTTGCAATCTGGAGCAAGAGAGAATAGATCTGCTCCATCTTCTACATGACAGCCCTTCAAATATTTTTACTCACAAGACTCCACAGGGAAAGCTTCTCATTGGACCCTCATCAGCTGATATTCTGACCCAGCAGTTTACATGCCTGGGCATCTCCAGATAGCAACAACAACAACAATAATAATAAATTATAAATTATTTCACTTCTATGTCGCCCATAGCTGAAGCTCTCTTGGCAGTTTACTGCAACTATAAAAACAATAAAATACAATAGATAAAACAAGAGTTAAACATTAATTTAAAATAACATTAAAACATTAAAAACAATAGACTGGACCCAGGGCTATTTTTGGGCAGGAATTTTGCACAGGGTTCCGGTGGCTCCCGAGTTCGCCACGCCCAGCAAGAACTCATTAACATAATAGGCCACATCCAACAGCAGAAACTCATTAGGATTGGCTACATTAGGGGTGTGTGGCCTAACACGCAAAGAAGTCCCTGCTACAAAAAAAGCCCTGGGTTTTGACAATAAACAAAGTAAACAGAATAAGAAGCAAAAGGTGGGTGTGGCTGGATGACCACACTTCTGGTAACATGGGGGTGTGGCCTAATGTGCTATTGAGCTGTGCTGTCAGGGGCGTGGCCTAATATGCTAATGAGTTTCTGCTGGTGTGTGTGGCCTATTATGCTAATGAGTTCCTGCTGGGCTTTTTTTACAAAAGAAGCCCTAGAAAGAACAGTACCTAGGCTAATCGTATGGGGCCCCTACAAAACCAAAGAGGTCTTTAAAGGCCCCCACAAAGAGGGCTGGCTTACTCTGGCGCTGAAAAGATGGCAGATTTTGCACCAGGTGGGCCACCACTGAAAAGGCCCTCCCCTTAGTTGCCACCTGAGCTTCTTGAGGGGTTGGCACCCAGAGGAAGACCCCAGAGGTTGAACGTAGGGTCTGGGTAGATTGGGGTTGGGAGAGGTGCTCTGACTGATATAGTAGTCCCCAGATGTACAACAATACAATAGCCACTGCATGCTTGGCCGTATCTTTGCTGTCTTTCTGTGCGGCTGTAGGATCTGACCATGAAATGCAATGAAGAGGAGAAATCTCTAAGCACCGAAGCGTTTGCCAAAGTGTCATTAACAAACCTGCGCCGGCCGGCCGTTCCGGACCTCTCCTCAGATTTGGGAATGAACATTTTTAAGAAGGTGAGTCGAAGTCTTGTGTGCTGAATTACGCCGATGATCTTTGGCTGTAATACGCTCAGGGCCTGCAAGGGGGCTTGGTTTGGAGCTGGCCAGAGGTGGGGCAGGCCCCAGAGGTCATGGAGGTACCTTGTAGGGGTGTGTGACAAAATGTTTTACATCAACCTGAGTCAGAAACCTCCTGAGAAACCTCTCCCTCTCCTCAAAATGTCTCTTCTTTCCCTCAGCCACAGGGCCAGAAACCTTTCCCCCACAATTGGGGATTTTTAGTATGTAGTTTCCCCAACTGACTTAAAACAGGGGGGGGCAGACTTTTTGAGTCTGTGGGCACCTTTGGAATTCTGACACAGGGTGATGGGTACAACCACAAAATGGCTGCCGTTGGAGGCTGAGTTCCCCCCCCCCCAAGAAGGCCAAGGGAACAAACAAAGCTGCCTTGTACTGAATCGGGCCCTGGGTCCATCAAGGTCAGTATTGTCCACTCAGACTGGCAGCGGCTCTCCAGGGTCTCAGGCAGAGGTCTTTCCCATCAGCTCCTTCTAGAACTTTTAACTGGAAATGCTGGGGATTGCGTGCCAAGCAGATGCTCTACCACTGAGCCATGGTCCATCTGGTGCAGGGGACACGAAGAGTAATTTTTTAAAAATACACCAACGCTATAGTGTCAGCCGCCACCAAAAAACGTCACTTTAATCTGCACAGCCAATCAGATGATCTCCAGTGGCCAATCAGAAGCCCTGGCCCCACCCATTTTCTAAAAACAGTTGGCGGGCACCAGGAAAGGTGTCAATGGGGTGTCATGGCACCTACGGGCACCATGTTGGGGACCCCAGATTCAAATTAAAGCTGGGGGCGCCAGATTCATTTCACAGTGGCGACAAGAACAGGGAAGGGTTCAGAACTGCAGCCCCCCCGAGGCCTCATTCTACTCTCCTCTTGCTATCGCGATGCACTTCCTTCTGCTTCACGATTTGTCTCCCGCCAGTTCAAGAGTCGCAAAGAGGATCGGGAGCGCAAGGGCTCCATCCCTTTCCACCACACGGGGAAGAAACGGCAGCGGAGGATGGGCATGCCATTCCTGGTCCACGAAGACCACTTGGATGTCTCACCCACTCGGAGCACTTTCTCCTTCGGCAGCTTCTCTGGGATCGGCGAGGACAGACGCGGGGTGGAGAGAGGAGGGTGGCAGACCACCATTTTAGGTGACTTGGAGAACTGGTAACTCCCCTGTCCCCTAGAGGCAAATGCTGGGATTTTTAGGGTTGCCAGATCCCCCCGAGCCACCGGCAAGGGATGGGGAGGGTAGCCAGATCCAGGTTGGAAAATTTCTGGAGATGTTGAGCCTGGGGAGGACAGGGACCTCGGTGGGGTACAGTGCCGTAGAGTCCACCCTCCAAAGCATCCATTTTCTCCGGGGGAACTGATCTCTGTAGTCTGGAGATGAACTGTAATTCCGGGAGATCCCCAGGCCCCACCTGGAGGCTAATGCAAAAACTGAGGGTCACAGTGTTAGGAAGACATACAAAAATATATATCACTGTGTTTATGGTGTTTATGGTGGAACAGTGTTATGCTTTATTCTTTTTATTTTTATATTATTCAATACTGTTGTCTAAATATTGGTATCAAATATGATCAAAAATATATTTCACCCAAACAATACATAGAGAAAAATAGATCGTGTGCAGGTTTACATTCAGACAGCACCTTGTCAGTACCAGTATCACTAGTCCCATGGGACGCTAGTCATTTACCCTTTTTGAATGAATCTTTTTCAGGGACCATGATCTCTCCTTATATATAAGTGAGTAGTGGTCCCAGAACGTTCTATGCACTCCAAAATCAGTTGGCTCCGTGATGTGTCAATCACAAGGTGTCTCTATCCACTGGCTGTTGCCAACTCCAGATGGGAAAATCCTGGAGATTTGAGAGATGGAGTCTGGAGAGGGTGAGGTTTGAGGAGGAGTGGAGCCTCAGACAGGTACAATGCCATAGACTCTGCCCTCCAAACCAGCCATTCCGTAATGGGGAAACACTGTTGCCAATCTCCAGGTGGGGGCTAGAGATCACTCAGAATTACAACTGCTCTCCAGATGGCACTGATCCATTCCCCTGGAGAAAATGGTGGACTCTGTGTCCTTATACCCTAATGAGGTTGCCATGGCAACTTGATTCTGAGTGCCCACGGCCTTGGCACTCTCCCAGATCCTCTTTCTAGCGCTCATTGTATTTATTTCCACAATGGGCCTTATTCCTAGTGTACATATAAAGGACATAAGGCACAATAATTTTTCTTTGTGAGCACAAAGGCTCTTAAGTTAGCAGCATTGCCAAGGGTCCCATCAGAACCCTTGCAGCAAACCTATCTAAAAGAGCATATCTCTCCGATTCTATGAGGTAGCCGCCTACCTGATATTTTTCTATATGTATTGTTTGGGTGAAATATATTTTTGATAATATTTGATACCAATATTTAGACAACAGTATTGAATAATATGAAAAGAAAAAGGTCCCATCAGAACCTTTGCAGCAAACATAGTAACCTATCTAAAACAGCATATCTCTCCGATTCTATCAGGTAGCCGCCTACCTGATATTTTTCTCTATGTATTGTTTGGGTGAAATATATTTTTGATAATATTTGATACCAATATTTAGACAACAGTATTGAATAATATGAAAAGAAAAATAATGAAGCACAAAATTGCTCTACCATAAACATATATTTATTGTACACAGTGATATATATTTTTGTATGCCCACCTGGAGGCCGGCAAACCAAGGCCCGTTCTGCCCAGTCATAGAAGCCTGATACTGAGTGCAGGAAATAAATCTCCCAAGAAGTATATTGCAAAAAAGGGAAACTTACATTGATTCAAGTAGATTCCGGTTGCAGTCCAAAGAAGAGAAACAGAGGCCTAATCTAAGGAGTACTTTCCCGATCACAAATGGCCAGCTTGTCCGGCATCATGCGTGGGGGAGTATAAGGGTTTTGTGTCTATAGGAGAGACCTGCAGAGACATGTGTCTCCGTGGAAGGCCATGTGAGGAAGTGAGAGGGAGGAGGTGTCAGAGGGCAACTTCCAGGTTAAGACAAAGGGAGGCATCCCATTCAAGGAGATTTATTTTATTTTATTGATTTGATTTATATCCCGCCCTTCCCGCATAGCAGGCTCAGGGCGGGTTCCATCCTACCAAGTAACAATGCAAATAAGAGTTAAAATAACAGTTAAAGCCAATTGAGATAACAGCTATACACCCTTAGAGTGATGTTGTGCCCCCCAATGTTCAGGCATGCTGAGCCCCTCGCTGCAACAAATTTTCCCGTCCTTTTAGGAACCACAAAAGATAATCCCTCTATTCAGATTAATGCAGTATACTATTGTTCTAATTTAATATACTTGTTACAGAACGATCATTATACTTATGGCTGTCTTTCAGAGTAAACTTACACTGCTCTTGTCTGCTGTTTTAATAACTAGATTAATAATACAGGTTTGGAGGCAACCTGTCTCTCTAGCCAAAGTCCTGAAGTTCATATGCTGCCCATAAATTGCTGTACCCACTTTGTGCTATTTCCTCCCAAAATACTTAAATATACTTACTGTTCTACTTTATGAGATAACGGGCCTCCAGTGTGACTCGATCCATACAATTTAGTATGGTTGCTGGTGATGGGGGGGTCCTGTTTTACCAATAAGAATGCCTCATTCAGACCCTACCAGTTTATGCATCTTGCATTCATTGAGGATATGACCATCAGTTAGGGTTCCCATTCCCCCAAAGGGGGGTTACCTGCTTTTGGAGCCTCCAGTCTGCCGCTGTCCAGCCGGCCGGTGGGGGAACCCCACCCCCAAAGAGCCCTGTTCACACCAACATGCCCGGCGCAATGATGTCACCCAGAGGTGACGTCATCCCACAGGGCACATTGTGGGGGAGACACTCTAGCATTTGAGAAAAAACTCTATGGTTACCATAGAGTTATGATGGCTAAGTCGAAATTCTATGTTCTAAACACCAGTTGGTATGGGGAAACAACAGGAGGAGGCTTTGGAACCCATGCTTTCCTTCTAGGCCTTTGGTTAGTCATGGCATGAAGCAGAATGCTGGGTTAGGTGGCCCATTTGTTGGATCCAGCAGGGTGCTCCTTCTGTTCTTATAAGTGGGTATATATCCATCCAGTTTGGGAATGCGATAATTTGGAACCTGCAGTGTGAGACTGCATTGGGACCCTAATCCCGATGAATCCCATCTCCTTTATTTGTCCTCTTTGGAGATAGATCAAGATGGATAAACCGTGTTAGTCCATCTGTAGCAAGAGTCCAGGAGCACCTTAAAGACTAACAAAAATTGTGGCAGGGTAGGAGCTTTCGTGCGTCACTGCTCACTTCTTCAGATACCTGATATCTTCAGGTATCTGGAGAAGTGAGCAGTGACTCGTGAAAGCTCCTCCCCCGCCACAAATTTTGTTAGCCTTTAAGTGCTCCTGGGCTCTCGTTCTTTGTCCTCTTGTTTCCATCGTGTAAAAGAGTCCTCAAAGTCATGTGCAATAAACACGTCTTCCATTTTTCTGCCCACGCTCTAGGAAGGTTCACCAGGCGGGGCAGTTCCGACACAGCGACGGAGATGGAAAGTCTGAGTGCTCGGCAT